CCAAGTTCCAAAATCAGTGACACCATAACATATTAATGAATACAACTTAGAAGCATTCAGAAAACCGAGCACGTCCAGGGCAGTGGTATGGGAGACATTTAAGCAGATAGCTCTTATGTCCCTGAAGTTTTTTCCCCAAACCAACACACCTCATTCTGTCAAGAGGCGTTAATAGGCTAAAAAGATGAGAAATAAGGTCTATATATTTGCTGGAGATCAACTGCCTGCCTCTGAATTAAAAAAAGTACTTCTCTCTGAAGTTAGCAGTGTTAACTGGGTAAAGGTTTCTCCTTTCTGCTGCCTCTGTAGGCTAGTGCTGGGACTCATGCCAAATTAACTACACCATACTGTACAGATGCCCTTTCTTGGGTTTGACTCACAGCAGAAGCCTTGAAGGCTTCCACTGATTTCTGCTTTTCCTTCTGCCTCTCTAACTCTGACAGTATTTGACACAGAGACCTCTTAAAATGTTGGCTATTAATTAGCAAAGCCTGCTCACAAGGCCTGGTGGTACCTAAGAAGCCACCAAAATGCCAGAGTAGAGCACAGGTTCCAAGACAGAGGGGTTAAAGGAAGATTTCCGCTGACGATAGATTGCCTCTGACCCACTATCAGAGTTCAGAGTTGCACTCCCAAGCCACATCCAGCTCCGGATATGAAAAACCACAGCTCCCCACAATGTGTTTTCAAGCGTGAGCAGCTCTGGCTTTTTGGCAGCACCTCCCAACCTGACAGTTCTTTGCCTTCCCTCCCTTCTCTCCCCAGCCTGCATTCATCCTGTGAACCCTTGCCTAGAGAGGGTGAAGCCCCATGAAGTTCTCAACTGACACTTCATGTGCATTTTCTTACCTCCAATTACAAAAGGGTTCCCTGTGGCTGCTGCACTTACCTGCAGTAAGGAAAGGGAAAACCCTACAACACTGCTCAAGAACAGAAAGCATTTGCATGAATAGTTAATCCTTAGTAGCTATTCTTGAAAGCATACCCATATTGGCAAGCTCCTGAAAACACAGCTATATTTTACATAAATTAGAAAAACCCAACAAAACCAAGACCAGTGCTAGCCCGGATTAGAGACTTTATTATCTTAATTGTAATGTTTGTACAGCACTTTATACTTTCCTAAACATCATGCCCTATACTTTCCAATCACTGTAAATGAGGTGACCAATACAGAAGCGTTTAATGTTTTAATTGACGAGTTTCAGAAAATCCAAACTGTACTGGAATAGCAAGTAAATTAGTGTTTTCTGTACCACAGTAACTCAGATTTAATCCTAGCACACTGGCGGGGAACTTGCATAAGTAGATTAGGCTGGTTCAGTACAACATGACAGCTACGAGAGCCCTTCAACTTGTAATTCTTACTGCTAGGTTAGTGAAGAACCTTCATGGGTTTAAACATGAATTTGTTCTTTCCCTCCCTCTGCCGAAGGGGACATGAGCCTCCTCTGTCTGCACTGCACTCATTCAGTACAGAACACTTTCTCCCCTTTTATAGAAACAGGACATTTGTCACATCGGGAGCACATAAATTCATCTATAGCACAAAACGACAAAAGTTAAAATTAGGCAAATCAAGCCAGAACTGGCAAATCTAAGGGCGGGCTATGATTTTCAGGGCACAGTTCCTCTCCCTGAACACTTGCAAACATTTGCATCTTAGCAAATCAAGTTGCCAAAGCAATATTTTAAAGCTGGTTTAGGCACAGAACTGTGATTTAGCAGGAAGGAACCCATGCTGCATATTCAGAATAGGAAACTATGATGGCACTGAATAAAGGAGACTTTAATTACCAAGCAAGCAACATTACCTGAATTTCCAATGTCACAACAGGCCAAATGCTAATACATTCAGAATTAGGAAGTAGGAATGGATCAGATTACCCCCTCTACCTATTCAGTGATTGTGGTATTTTTACATAACAATGCAGAAATAAATGCTGCATGCAGTGCTGAATGTCCTTGCTTTAAAAACAAACTATCAACCACCTATGGTAAAGAGAAAAGGGAAGAAGAAATCTGGGAAGCTATTCAGGAACTGAAAGAGATGCTTAACAAAGAGTTAATGTGCTAATCAACATTGTCTTGGCTGTCTTGGCAATGATTTGATCACAGTGTCCAGGGACGCACAGAGACCTAAGAAAGTACCTGCTACCCAAGACATACCTGGTAGTCAGAACACTGCAATAAAAGTGGGTGAAAGTGCCCATAGAAGCAAACATCCAGCCTGTAAGTTGAGACCAAGGTAGTGCAAATCAACAGTAAGACACCTTTTGAACAAAGAACCACTGAGGAAAATTCAAAGGAAAATAACAAATCCTTCCAACCCCAGGGCCCTCCTACCAGGAGCTAGCTGTGTGCTTTACCCAAACACGAGTCAGGATGCATATTATTGAACTAAACAGGTAAAGCTCATGATTTCAAGGTAAAGAATGTAAGATGACCTCATTTGGACATCCTTTCTGTCCTTCCACTGTGTGTAAATTTTGCACCTGCTGCTTCAGCAAGACATGTGAAGTGCTGGGACAAAGTCCCACTGCTGCATCTGTGGCCCAGGACTGAATGTGCACTGCTGGAGGTGCACAGCAAAGAATGCTGCTCTTTGCAGGGCTCTGCAATCACAAGCCTTATGGCAAGGCTTTTTATTCTAAAACCTCCATTTGTAGCAAGTTTTTGCATATGCTTGTCAAGTTCAGACACAGACATGAAGAAGAGGCACCTAATGTGCACATTTCTAAGCTCACTATGTACTCTTGCAGCACAGTACAGAAGGGCCTTTCATTCACGACACTGCTGTACTGTTCTAATAGATGGAGATCTTTCCTTAATGGTTCTGTAATGAATAATACACCAGACTGAAGGGGGGGGGGGGGGGGGGGGGGGAAGAAGTAGAGAGGGGCAGAGATGAAGCCTTTGTCAAGGGAATGGCTGACAGTGGAGTCAGATATCTACATATTGAAGATAAGGGGGCCAGCACTCAAATTTTGTATGCCTATGATCAGTTCCAAGCCACCAATCTTGCTCTTTGAAGCCCATGAGCTCTGTACTCAGATTTTAATAGAATCAGTGAAGCAACAGAAGTGGAAGCACAGTACAGCTCATATCTATCTGAAAGGACAAGCAGCATATATTCAATTCATGCACAGACTTGCACTGACTTTTTTATGCTTTCAACAGTTTCCCTAAGGTATTAAACAGGAAGACACCAACAAGACTTGCTCTTCTCATGATCACTGTACTAGAAGAGTAATACTAAGATGCTTAGAGAGAAAATAACCCTGTATAAGCAATTTAAGATTTCAGTTTTAGTCACTGAATTAAAAGCAATTCAGGCACAATTCAATTATGTGATCTCAATAATAGAGACATAATTCAGAATTGCCCTGTTGACAGAACCTCAGCCACTGTTTTAATATGAAATATACAAGCATTACTTTCCTTACTCCTGCCACCTCTGCAGCATAAGGGATTACCTCTTCTCCCTTCTTGCTCTAGGCGGGCAGCAATTTGAGAAAACAGAGACCATCACTGCAGATATGCAGCCATAAAGCTTTATAACTAGTCAAAACTGTCCCCTCAGCCATACCATCCTGGAGCTACTACCCTCTTAAAGAAATACAGAAAATAGTATCTAGGGTTCAAGACATCTTTTTGTAGCCTCTTGGTCTGCAATCCAGATCCTTCTGATTGGACACAATGGTATAGATGGAATGACAGATAAATATTTATGTGTGCTCTCCACATATAAATATAATGACTTCGGTTTAATGAAAACAAGCCAGTATTTACCTACAAAAAAAACTTCAGAAAATACCATGTTGCAAGGGCAGCAGCACAGATTAGTCCCAGCGTATATGGTCTGTACATGTTAACAAATGGCAGATGTCTTCAGAAGAATAAGAGCAGAGGAAAGGCATACAACAGACTTCCTCGTCCAAGGAGCTTGACAATTTGCATACAATAGACTTTTTGTGAATGAAAAACGCTGTCATTACCACTTGTTTGTTCCATGATCACAGGGAAAGAAAAAATCTCACAAAAGAGCTCCACATAAACAGGACTGTACATGGTATTACACAAGCACACTTAAATTTAAAAATCCTAATAGCTACAGAACAGGATCCAAGCTGCCAACCCCAAAGGTTGCTTAAGCATACACAGTATGAAGTCTTTCAGTTTAGAACTTTAGGTGAGCAAACTCCGTGATTCTAGAAATGAGCTTTCAGACAACAGCCTGACCACATTCTGAGGATACAAACTGCACAGTGAGTTTCCAAATAGGGCAGTACAAATTCTAACTTCCAAGTCACATTCTACAATACAGTTACACAGACAAATCTTAATTTAGATTGTAGCACTCCGAGCTCAAGACTCCACAGCCATGTTTTAACAGATAAAGCAGGATTTTATTTATTTTTTGCCTAATATTTAACTTTACCTGAAACAGGGTGTTTTTAAAAGGTAAGTCTGTTTGGGTGCTTCTGCTTACAAGCACCAAAAAAAATTTAGCACCTCCTGTATGAGTTTTAACCAGTTCCATAGCACTGAAGCATTACTGGATAGAACACTGAGTGAAGAACAAGGTGGTGTGACCCTCTGGCTCTAATGAAGCCACCAGAAGTCTTATCCCTGCAGACCTGGCAAGTGCCATTAGGGCAGATCTGTGTTCCTCAGACTGAAAACAACTCCTTCCTTCAGATATGTTCATTAGTAATTCAACAAAACACAAACCAGACAGCATTCAGAAGCACATCCAAGTTTAACAAACCTGTCAACCCACAACATATAAAATCAATAGCAGGGACAGAGAACCCTAATAGTAAGAAATTTATTGATCTTTCCAGAAAACAGAAGCCTATTACTAGAAGCTTACTTCTTAGTCCACAAATCTTCAAATGTTAAATATAAAATATAATGACAAAGAATTATTAGTTCCTGTTATCTTTTCTGCTTGACAGCTATATAACAATATAACAACATTTAAATCAAGTACTTACAGGGTCTCTCAGCTCTTCATTGTCTCGAGTTGACGTTCGAGGTACTTTCACCGGGATTTCATCTCCACATTCAGTGTCAGAAGCATTTGGAGACTCTGCTAAATCAAGGAACTCATCTCTCTTGTGACCTCTGAACCTTATTTTGTCCAACTTCTTTAGCATGTTCAGCACTGCACTTTTCTGCTTTACCTTAACATGACGGTTGAAGTCTCTGCAAGAAACAAGACATCAAGAGGATGTTAGAAAGCTTGCACTACACCTAAACACACACATTCTAACCACTAACTACTTCAAGCCATCTTTTCAGAGGCCTTCTTGCCACTGGAGGGAAAACATGCTGCAGCTTAGCTTTGTAACGGGCACTTCTTTTCCACAGTGCAACAGATACACGGTTTGTTTTTCAGTAGTTGATGATTTACCGTCTTCCCACATGTAACAGGGAAATGGCCTCTTTCTCATGGCTATTTTTAAAGCAAGTGTAAAGCTAACAACCTGCAGGCTAAAGAAAGATTAGGAAGTCAGTTCCTAACAGGTTACCTGAAACAAAAAACAGTTTACTTTATAAGTTCACATTCTTCATCTTGCTGATGCTTCTAATCAAAGAAATGAAAATCCACTCAGCTTCACAACCAGCCTTTAAATTCCCAGGAAAAAAAAAAAAAAAAAAATGGAGGAAAAGAGTAAGGATGCTATCTCACCTCCCTACTGCTTCAGGCTAAGAAAAGAGAAAGTACCAAGTGTTTATTGAAGGAAGCCAACAGACAGACCCATGCAGAGATTCCCACCAAAAACTAGAGACTGTTGAAGTTGACCATAAAAGCCACATTCAAATGCACTGCCAAAATCCTTAAAGTTACCACTGCTGATAATCTTGTATACCCTTTGCTAGATTTCTGTTACTCCCTTCAAGATGCAAACAAGAATCACTTTATTAGAGGTGCTTTCACACTGCTATAAAACTAGCATGGCCAAAACTTCACTGCAAGAGAAACGGCAGAGCAGTATTTCTGCAGAACATGTAGGTGCCACCGCATGCAGAGAAATGAGAAATGCCCAGGACATTCCACTTCCAGAGACAGTGTTTGACAGGAGCAATACTGAAATTCTAAATCATAAATCATACTGGGAGAAGCATTTGGCCTCTTAAGAGACAACAGAAGAAAGCTTAATTAATGTACATGAATTCATTGTAATGGTAGCTTTCCAAGAGTGTGTTAAGTTCTGATTTAAAGAAGACCTGCCAAATCCATCCGATTTAATGCTCTACATGTATTATTCTGTTCCTCAGCTCAGAGTGTTCCATTTTGAAGGTGCCACAATAGTCTCCCAAATGGCCTCTGCAGTGCTAAGAATTTATTTTGAGGCACTTGTTACTATCCTTGCTTCCCTATGGTCAGCACTGCCATGCTCTTCATTAGAGAGCATGCTTAGCTTCATGGCACATCACCCCAGGCACTGGTGTGAGATGAAAAAGCAAAGGCAGAGATAGACATGGGTCACTTCAGAAGTATAAATAAAGAGCAAGAAGAGCCTTTTGCTACTGGCTCCCACAGCCTTGACAGTTGAAGCAATTCTCACCTCCCAGCACAAACCGCTTTTCAACAGAGCTCTTCTTTCCCTGCAGATTCTCTGCTTACCCTAACACTCTGGCAGTGACTGTTCACACAAAGTTCAAACCAGATCGCTCCCCCCAAAAATCTGCCTGACTTTGCACCTCTGCCAAGGTTTATTACCACCCTTCACTTAAACACTGAAGTCTGAAACTAATATAAATACCCTATAGTGTAGCTGGCAGAAAACCCCAGAAAAACTCTTCCTTTACCAGAGACACTTAAAGCTGCAGTCATGTGCTTAATCTTTCACTTACAGAGAATCACTTGCAGTAACTCACAGCAAAGTTATTTTCTACGAACAACTTTTGTTTGAAGTTCTATTACTTGTCAAAGCTAAGTTTAAAATAGAAACGTTTCTTGCTCATTCATTGACTATTTGATGAAGAAACTTGTCAGCTATCACATCCAGAAATATCTCTAGGCCCTACTATTAATAGCACCTAGAGAACAAATGCTATCAGGGAAGTTTAAACCTCTGATAAGCACTGGCACAACTTTATCACCCTCCCTCCCATCTCAAAGATCTCCATCTGCATTCAACCAGTTTCTTACATACCACATAAGTCAGACCTACAGACAAGTAGTTATAAAACAAGTTGTTTGTTTGGCATTTGTGCTTACACTGCTAATGATACAGCTGCACAAAGAAATAATAAGGATGCTAAAAAATCTTCACTATGAGGGTAGTGATACACTGGCAGAGGTTGTCCAGAAAAGTTGTGGCTGCCCCATCCCTGGCAGTGTTCAAGGCCAGGTTGGACGGGGCTTTGAGCAACCTGGTCTAGTGGAAGATGTCCCTACCCATGGCAGGGGGTTGGAAGATGATCTTTAAGGTCCCTTCAATCCAAGATATTCTATGATTCTGTGGTAGAGTATTATCCTTTTTCTGGTCAGCACTCATCAGCCCCTACCAGTGGAGGACAAGTATGCATCCCAGGCCACCTTCATCCCTCTTACGGGTGAAACAGTCAAATCAAGGCTGCAGAGAAGGACTGCTGCCTTGGGCAGCATCAGGAGGCCTCACTGTTCTCCAGTTACAGCCACATTTATGTACTGCTCCTCAAAGACTAAGGGTGGATTTGGACCTCTTTTTATAGTGCGGCATATATAGCACTTCAGTGCACATTTCAAGACCTGAATTCAGTTTTCCCCTTAGAGTGGGTTCATATTCACTTATACAAAAGAAGTGAGAGGCAACAAAACATCCTGATACAGAGCAATCTCCACCCCTTCTCTTCATTCTCTTCAAGATTTGCCTTCAGGCAGTGAAGAAAGAAACACCCAGGAGGCCAGTGAAAGGGCCCAGTGGTGAAACTGCCGGAGTCAGACACTGGGAACACAAAGTCCTGAAATCCAGCCTCCTCCTAGGATGGTTCAAGCATTTCAGCCTAGGTCACAGATTATAACCTGGCCAACAAATGTGCCCATGAATACATATATCGTATTTTTCACTAGTAAAACTGATGTACCTAACCTTAAGTGCGTTACCACCTGGCCTTTTAAAAATGCAAACCTTTCTTTAAAGCACTAACAGATCACTCCACTGAAGACAGTCTGCTTAAACTCTGTAACACAGAGGCTATCAAAAGAGAGATGCCTTCAGTGTCAATATTTTAAAGGATTATTCAGTAGGTTGACCATTAAAAAAGAAAATAGTAAAGAATCATGTTCCAAGGCATTTTTAATGTCCTAAGTACAAGAAGCTGTTATATAAAAAAAGATAAGAACATTTTGTCTAAAAATTGTTTTGGATGTACCAGGCTTCCATATTACTTGCAGTTACATTAGATTAACCTAAGCAAAAACCTAAGCTTGCCAACAAACTCCTATAGAAACTCATTACCTGGCCTCCAGCCAAATGTGCGATCCAAGACAAGCTTTTTATGTCAGCAGCCTGTCCTTGCAGCTACCAACTTCCTTTTTAGATAAAGTCAACAAATATGGCGACATGTCAGCAGGTTTAGCTCACTAGGAGATGCTGCATTCTAAGTGACTTGGGTCAAATTTAGATAAGCTTGAGGAAGCTTTTCTAAGACCAGAACCTGATCTAGAATTAGATTTACTGTAAAACATAGTAACTAAATATTAAAACACTTGCTTTGCCATAGCAGCTATTCATCCCCTCACCCTCTCCCAACTACCCATCCACATGCTGGACTCAGCCGGTTCAGCAGTTAAGTTTCAGGCTGCTTCTAGTAACTCCCCATACCAGGAACATCAAAACTAGTATGTCATTTTGCACATGCAGAGTTCAGAGTGTGAATGCAGGCCCACACCTCCCTCTGTTTCAAACACAGATACTGTGTAATTACAATAAAAACACAAATATTTTAACTCAGTGTGTTAGAAACATTCTCATTTCCCAACACTGTCATACATGTGACAACTGTTCTCACTGCTATACAACAAACAAGCTTTAAATAAGACTTAAGACCAATATCATGCTTGCAAACAATTATTTTGAACAAAATAAAAATCAAATCCATCCTCCCCAATCAAGTTTATTTCTGCAAAGACCATACCATTACTCTGAGCAATTGGAGATCCTTCACACATTAAATGCTATCACAAAAAGTGCTGCACCGGAAGGCAGATGCTGACTCTGCAAGACTGATTTAGGTCCTACTTTGTTGCACCTCAACCAGATTTAATACTATATTACAACAGAGGCCCTCCTAGTAGTAAGGATATCTTACATTAACATGCTTACAAACAAGGCTATTCAGGAACCCAGATTAAGCAGGTGCCTTTTATTTCTCTTGTTACAGTAGCAGAGGTCAAATCAGCAAAATTAAACAGCAGCCTGTAAAAACTATCCTGAAGACCCAAACTACCTAGTAAGAAACTAGGCAAGAGTTTGTGTATACAGGGTTTGATTAGTTAAAATGGTCTTTTTCAGACTTAGAAAAGAAAACAAACTAAAATAATCTTTAAAGGTGCTTTTGTTAATTATCATTTGTATCTAGTTGCTAAAGCAAACCCCTCAAGGATGAGGTTTTATTCCTTTTACAGAGGGCCAGAGAAGACTTTATTTGGACCCAATATGAAAACCCTCAATTAACCCCCCAAATAACTGCCAGATGTTCAGTTTAAACTATTATACAATGACCCAAAACCCCAAACAAACGTAAGCACACATTCCAAGCTTATTCTGAGTAGAAAAAAAAAAAAAAAAAAAAAAAAAAATCACATTTTCCTGAACTTTCACATAAAAATCACAAGCAGCTCTAGCACAGTTTTTTCTGCCTGTGTTTACAAGAGGTTTCAGCAAGGAGACACCCAGCTCCTGGGGAACAGGCCCGCCTGGCACAGTCTGGAGGGACTCGGTTATGGGCCTTGTTTCTACGGGCACCCCTCATCCCTTTGTGCCACTGCCCCCACCATGCTCAGCTCTTGCGCACATGTGGAAGAGGTTGGGATGCAGAAGCGAGAAGGGAACTCAAGAGAAGGGCAGTACTCAGTGCAGAACTGCTATCCCAAATCCACCTTAACTTGCTCCAGAGTTACCTACAAGTGGCTTACAGGTTTTGGTCTTCTGTGGTTGCACTTAGCTTTTACACAAGAATACTCTGAATCAGAGTACATGGCCTGTGAGACC